TTGAGGGTCCTGACCCAGCAAATTGCTGTCCAGGTTGCTTCTGAGCCATGGGTTTACCTCCAGGAAGGCGGGATCTTGAGCCCAAGGAAAGGAGAGGACATCATGTGTCCCCTGAATGGCCGAGAGTGGGGAGAATGTTTGGGGGGTATGTGGCGCATGCATGGGGACCCACCAGAGAAGGCACATGGCCCTGAGGCCCCAGGACGCAATTTCTAGCATGCTTATAGAGGGTGTCTGAGGGGGCACTCTCCATGCCCCGGTGCAGGCTATGTGACTGCCAGGTCTGCAGCAGTTCGTGGCATCCGGGCTAGCCTTCTTGATTGCTTATGAGCTGGTTGATAGCCCTGGCCTGTGCCGAGGGGTCCTGGTGCGGCCCTGGGGTTGTTCAGGGAGCCGGCATGGGCAGTGGAGGTGCTCTTAGGGCCTGCAGTAGGGCACAGCCCAGGTGTTCTTGCTTGAGTGCAGTGAACCTCCTGCCCTGTCCTTCCAGGGTTCAGTAGCAGGGAGGGCCCCATGTCCTCCCTGCTACTGGTCAGTGGAGGTGGGTCAGTGTTCCGCATGGATTCCATCACATGGGTACATGGAAGGAGAGCATGTGTGAGCCAGCACTGCCCGCTCTCTTCCCCACGTGGCAGGGTGAGGCCCTGTTTGGACCCACCCTCCACCTATCTCACCAGATGGTGAGCCCAGAGGAAGACCCCCTGGCTGTGGGCCAGCCTCAGTCAGCCAGATCCCCAGCCCCTGGTGTGCTGAAGCTCAGGACCTTCCTGGTGCCCTGGTCTCCTGCACTGAGCTGTGGTGAGCCCATCCGGGTCCTGCTGGATGCACGAGTGGGGAGGGGGGTGCCCTGGGTTGGGTCAATAATGAGAACCTTATATTGTCTCTGAAGAGAAGTGATGACTTAAAAATCATGCTCAATAGGATTATGCTGAGGCCCAGCCTAGGTGAGAATTTTGGAAGAGGATGCTGGGATCCCAAGGTCACAGGCAGGGCTACCGTATTTTGGACTAGAGACCTCAAGGCCTGGAAGGGCATCTTGAGGGGATCCAACCCTGTCTCTGCGCTCCTCCGTGAGCCAGCCCTGGCTCCCTGTGTGGGCTTGGTGTTGGTGCTCTGGTTCCTGGACGGGGCATGTGGGCGGCCCCTTCCTGAGCCCCCGTTCTCCCCTGTGTCTGTCAGTGAGCTCTTCTGCCCAGGTGGGCCCCCTGGCATTGACTGGCATAGGTGAGTGGATCCTGCTTGGGTCATGGGTCATGAGCGAGGCAGAGTGGGGTCACCATGTGTCTGCCTTCGGGTCACAAGAATTTCCTAAAAGTGTGGACCTGAATTCCCACTGGGAATGAGTTCTCCAGAAGGGCCACTTCCTTGGGAATCGTACCCAAGAAGGATGCCTATCCTGAAGCCCAGCAGGGGTGATGGTGGTCCAGGCAGGAAAGAGTTCATTCAACCCCATGCAGGGCAGCTCCTATCTGAGACTCGGTGCGTCAGTCAGGCCTCAAGGACTGCCTAGGACACATGAGGTGGCTACAGAGGGTCTGGGGCACTACGGGGGTTCTGGGGAGAGGGGTAGGCAATCAGGTCCATGGGGATCATGCCATGCAGTTTCAAGGACACCCATGACCCTGAATGAGACTGACCCTGTTGAGCAATGGGCCATCCCAATGGCGCCTCCTTGAGTCTGGTGGTGGGTGGTGCTGTTTCCCTGGGGCTAGGTCAAGGCTGAGCTCTGGCCAGTACCTGTGGTGCTGCAGGCTGGCCCTGGAACTCATGGGCTTTGGACCATGGGGACAGCTTGGGTCATGCTTGGGGTCACCCCTTCCCGGAGGTTGAATGGCGGGAGTGGTGGCTTCGTAAGGTGGGAAGTCCCGCTGTTGAGCAACCTGTCCTGGGAATTTGCCACCCAGGCTGCTTCAGAGCCATGGGGTCACCTCCAGGGTGGCAGCCTCTTGGGCCCAAGGAAAGGGGAGCACACCATGTGTCCCTGGATTGGTTGAGTGTGGCCTGACTCTGTGTTTGGGAGGTGTGCAGGGCATGGATGGGGACCCATCAGAGAAAGTACATAGCCCTGGAGCCCCAGGCTGTGATTTCCAGTGTGTGCTTGGAGAGGGGCAGGGGCAGGCTCTCGACTGCCAAGTCTGCAGCAGTGTGTGGCATCCAGGCTAGCCTCCTGGTTAGCCATGTGCTGGTTGGTGGCCCTGGCCTGTGCCCAGTGGTCTCAGGGCGGACCTGGCATTGTGCAGGGCAGCCAGCAGGTCAGTGGAGGTGCTCTCAGGACCTGCAGTAGGGTGCAGCTTGGACTTTTTGCATGAGACCAGCGACCTGCCTACCTTGTCCTTCCGGGGTTGGGTGGCTGGGAGGGCCAAAGGTGGTCTGTGTCCATCTTTGTGACGCATCAGTGCCCTGCATGGATCCTATCACATGGATATCCCCTACCCACCTTCCCCATATAAAGGCATGAGGCCCTATTTGGACACGTGTCCTCCTCCTGTCTTAGATGGTGAGCTCAGAGGAAGACTTGCATTGGGCCCAATGGATCCGGGCCAGGGTCTGTCAGCCAGGTGCCCAGCTCCTGATGTGCTGAAGCTCAGGCCCTTCCTGGAGCCCTGGTCTCCTGCCCTGAGCTGTGGTGAGCCTGTCTGGGTCCCACTTGATGCATGCACGGGAGGGGGGTGCCCTCAGTTGGGTCGATGATGAGAACCTTATATTGTCTGAAGAGAGGTGATGACTTAAAAATCATGCTCAATAGGATTACGCTGAGGCCCAACCTAGGGGAGAATTTTGGAAGAGGATGCTGGGATCCTGAGGTCCCTGGCAGGGCCACTGTATTTTGGGTTGGAGACCTCAAGGTCCTGAAGGGCATCTTGGCGGCCCCCAGCCCTGTCTGCACTCCTCTGTGAGGCAGCCCAGGCTCACGGAGTTTGGTGTCAGAGTCCCATTCCCCAGGGGCGGGGCAGGTTGGCGGCTCCTCCCTGAGTCCCCCTTCTCCCTTGTGTCTTTCAGTGACATCTTCTGCCCAGGTGGCCCCCTGGCATTGACCAGCATAGGCGAGTGGAACCTGCTGGTGTCATGGGCCATGAGCCAAGCAGCGTGGGGACGCCAGGTCAGCCTTCGGGACAGGAGGGTTTCCTCAGTGAGTGGGGGAATCCCCACTGGGGAGGGATGGGTTCTCCCAGAGGGCCACTTTCTTTCTAATCAGACCCATGGAGGACATTTTCTCTGAAGACCTGCAGAAGTGATGATGTTTCAAGCAGCAAAGGGTTTTTACAGCTCCTGCAGGGCAGACAGCTGTAAAACAGATGTATGCATGGGGAGCGGGGTGCACTGGGTTGGGTCAATGATGAGAACCTTATATTGTCCTGAAGAGAGGTGATGACTTAAAAATCATGCTCAATAGGATTACGCTGAGGTCCAGCCTAGGTGACAATTTTGGAAGTGGACACTGGGAATCATGAGGTCCCTGACAGGGTCACTGTATTTTGGGCTGGAGACCTGGAGGCCCTCAAGGGCCTCTCATGGGGACCCAGCCCTGTCTCTGTGCTCCTCCATGAAGCACAGCAGGCTCCCTGTGTGGACTTGGTGTCAGCGCACTGGTTTCCTGAGGGCAGGGCACATTGGTGGCTGTTCCCTGAGTCCTCATTCTCACCTTGTGTCTTTCAGTGAACTCTTCAGCTCAGAAGGGGCCCTTGGCCTTGACTAGCATAGGTGAGTGCATCCTGCTGCCGTCATGGGCCATGAGTCAGGCCGCATGGGGTCACTGAGGGTCAGTCTTTAGGACAGGAGGGTTTCCTCAGGGAGCCAACTTGTATTTCCACTGGGGAGGGACAGTTTCTCCAGGAGGGCGGCTTCCTTGGGAATTGTACCCAAGACGTTGTTTTCCTGAAGCCCTGCAGGGATGGCAGTGGTCCAGGCAGGTCCTTCATCCCCATGCAGAGGAGCTCCTAGCTAAGACTCAGTGCGTGTGTTGGCCTCGAGGACTGCCCAGGCCACATGATGGGGGCCACAGGGCCTCCGGGGCACCACAGGGGCCATGCAAGAGCTCTCTTTCCCCGGACAGGGGTGCTTGAATGAGCCCATGGGGTTGGGCCATGGAAATTCAAGGATTGCACTGCAACCATAGCTCAAAATGGGACTGTTGAGCTATGGACCATCCCATGGCGCCTCTTTGAGCTTGGTTGGGGGCAGTGCTATTTCCCTGGGTTTGGGTCAAGGCTGAGCTCTGGCCAGTGCCTGGTGGGGCTGTGGGTCAGGCCTGGGACTCATGGGCGTTAGGCCAAGTCGACAGCCTGTGTCCTGCTGGAGGTCACCCCTTCCCCATGAGTGAGTGGCTGGAATGTGTGGTGAGAAGGCCTGCTGTTGATGGTCCTGTCCCAGGAATTTGCTGCCCAGGCTTTTTCTGTGCCATGGGGTCATGTCCAGAGAGGCAGGGTCTTGGGCCTAAGGAAAGGAAAGTACACCATGTGGCCCAGGATTGGCCAAGGGTGGCCTGGCTCTGTGTTTGGGACATGTGTGGGGCATTGATGGGGACCCACCAGAGAAAGCACATGGCCCTGGGACTCCAGGCTGCGATTTCAGGTGTGACTTGGAGAGAGCACCTGGGCAGGTGCCCACCACGCCCAGGAGCAGGCTATGCAACTTCCATGTCCACAGCAGCAGATGGCTTCTGGGCCAGCCTCCTAGGTTGGCTATGAGCATATCAGTGACCCTGTCCCATGTTCAGTGGTCCTGGGGTAGACCTGGCTGGTGCAAAGGAGAAGCCAGAGGGCGCCCTGGAGGTGCCCTCAAGGTCTGCAGTAGCATGAAGACCAGGGATCTTGCCCAAGCCCAGTGATCCACCTGCCCTGTTTTTTCAGGGTTTGATGATGGGAAGGGCCGGGGGTGCCCTGTATCCGTGACAGGTCAGTGTTCCACATGGATCCCATCACATAGGTATCCCTTACCCCATTCCCCACCTGGAGGTGTGAGGCCCTGTTCAGACACATGTCCTCCTCCTGTCCATCCAGATGGTGAGCCTGAAGGAAGACTTATGTCAGGACGAATGGACCCTGGCAAGCGTCCATCAGCCAGGTGCTCAGCCCCCGGTTCGCTGAAGCTCAGGCCCTTCCTGGTGCCCTGGTCTCCTGCACTGACCTGTGGTGAGCACATCTGGGTCCCGCTGGATGCATGTGTGAGGAAGGGGGGTGCCCTGGGTTGGGTCAATGATGAGAACCCTATATCGTGTTGAAGAGAGGTGATGACTTAAAATTACCATGCTCAATGATTACGCTGAGGCCCAACCTAGGTGAGAAATTTGGAAGAGGTTGCTGAGATCCCAAGATTTCCAGCAGGGCCACTGTATTTTGGGCTGGAGCCCTGGAGGCCCTGAAGGGTATCTGAAGGAGGTCCAACTCTGTCTCTGTGCTCCTCTGTGAGGCAGCCCAGGCTCCCTGTGCGGGCTTGGTGTTGGTCCTTCTGTTCCCCAGGGACATGGCACGTGGGTGGCTCCTCCCTGAGCCCTGGTTCTTCTCCCCTTGTGTCTTTCAGTGAATTCTTCTGCCAAGGGGTGGCCTCCTGGCATTGACCAACATAGGTGAGTGGGTCCTGCTGGTGTCATGGTCCATGAGCCAGGCTGCTTGGGGTTGCTGAGGGTCAGACTTTGGGCCATGAGGGTTTCCTCAGGGAGCCGACCCTAATTCCCACCAGCAAGGCATGGTTTCTCCAGGAGGGCAGCTTCCTTGGGAATCTTACCTGAGGAGGATGCCTTCCCTGAAGCCCTGCAGGGGTGATGATGGTCCAGATGGCAAAGGGTTCCTTCAGCCCCATGCAGGACATCGCCCAGTTGAGACTTGGTGTGTGGGTCAGGTCTTGAGGACTGCCCAGGTCACATGAGGGGGGCCAGAAGGGCTCCGGGGTGCCACGGGTATCACATGGGAGCTCTTGGTTCCCGGGCATGTTCCTGGGGGGTGGTGACCGGCTTGGGCCACAGAGGTTCAAGGCTCTCATCCCACCTGTGGCCCTGAATGGGGCCGATCCTATTGAACAATGGGCCATCCCAGTGGCACATATTGAGCCTGGTCAGGGGTGGTGCAGTTTCAATGGGGTTGGTCAAGGTTGAGATCTAGCTGGCTCCTGGTGGTGCTTCAGGCCAGTCCTGTGACCCATGGGCTTTGGGCTGAGGGGGCAGCCTGTATCCCATGGGGGTCACCTGTTCTCCATGTTTGAGTGGCAGTAACAGTGGCATTCTGAGGTGGGAAGGTCCACTGTCTAGGGTATTGTACCGGGAATTTGCCACCCTGGCTTCCGAGCCATGGGGTCACCTCCAGGTTCGCAGGATCTTGGGCCCAAGGAAACGAGAAGATACCATGTGGCCCTTGATTGGCCGAGTGTGGCCTGGCTCTCTGTTTGGGACGTGTGTCGGTTATGGATGGGGTCCCACCAGTGAAAGCACGTGGCCTGGGTCCCCAGGCTGTGATTTTCAGTGCACACTTGGGGAGGGCTCCTCAGTGGATGCCCACCACACCCAGAGGCAGGCTATGTGACTGCCAGGTTTGCAATGGTGCATAGCTTCCAGGCTACCCTCCTTGGTTGGCCAGGAGCGGGCTGGTGGCTGTGGTCCATGCCCAGTGGTCACAGGGCAACCCTGGGATCATGCAAGGAAGCTGGCGGGGCCAGTGGAGGTGTTCTCCCGACCAGAAGTAGGGTGCAGCCCAGGTGTCTGGCCCGAACCCAGTGACCAGCCTGCCCTGTTTTTTCGGGGTTTGGTGATGGGGAGGGCCAAGGGTGCCCTGCATCCATGACCAGTCAGTGTTCCACATGGAACCCATTACAGGGATATCCCTTACCCCCTTCTCCACATGGAGATGTGAGGCCCTAGTTGGACACATGTCCTTCTCCTTTCCCCCCAGATGGTGAGCCTGGAGGAAGACTTGCATTGGGCCCAATGGCCCTGGACCAGTGTCTGTCAACCGGTTCCCAGTCCCAGGTGCGCTGAAGCTCAGGCCTCTCCTGGTGCCCTGGTCTCCTGCACTGAGCTGTGGTGAGCATATCCTGGTCCTGCTCGATGCAAGTGCGGGGAGGAGTTGTCCTAGGTTGGGTCAATGATGAGAACCTTATAATGTTCTGAAGAGAGGTGATGACTTAAAAATCATGCTCAATAGGATTACGCTGAGGCCCAACCTAGGTGAGAATTTTGGAAGAGGACACTCGGATCCCAAAGTCCCCGGGAGGGCCCTTGTATTTTAGGCTGGAGACTTCAAGGCTCTGAAGGGCATCTGGAGGTGGCACAACCTGTCTCTGCTCTCCTCTGTGAGGCAGCCCAGGCTCCCTGTGTGGGCTTGCTGTGGCACTCCGGTTCCCTGGGCCGGGGAACATTGGTGGCTCCTCCCTGAGTCCCTGTTCTCCCCTGTGTCTTTCAGTGAGCTCTTCTGCTCAGGCAGGCCACCTGGCATTGACCGGTATAGGTGAGTGGATCCTGCTGTGGTCATGGATCATGAGCCAGACCACAGGAGTCCCCCAGGGTCAGTGTTATGGCCATAAGGGTTTTTTCTCAGGAAGCCAACCTGAATTCCCACTGGGGAGTCATAGGTTCTCCAGGAGGGTGGCGTTTTGGGGAATCAGACCCAAGGGGGACACCTTCCCTGAAGCCCTGCAGGGTTGATGGTGGTCCAGGCAGGAAAGGGTTTTTTTCAGCCCCACACAGGGCAGCTCCTAGCTGACACTCGGTGCTTGGGTCAGACCTCAAGGATTGCCCAGGCCACGTGAGGGGGACTGAGAGCCTCCGGGGTGCCACAGGGGTCACATGGGAGTTCTCGGTGCCTGGCATGTGGTGCACAAATGGGCCTCTTGGGTTTGGTCATGGAGATTCAAGGATCTCACACCACTATGGCCCTGAATGAGACGGTCCCTGTTGAGCAATGGGCCATCCCAGTGGGTCTCCTGGAGCCTGGTTGGAGGGTGGTGTTTTTTCCCTGGGGTTGGGTGAAAGCGGAGTTCTGACTGGCACCTGGTGGTGCTGCAGGTCAGCACTGGGACTCATGGGCGTTGGGCCAAGGGGGAGCCTGCATCCCACTGGGGAGTCACCCTTTTTCCGACGTCAAGTGTCTGGAAGTGTGGCCTCCTGAGGTGGAAAGGCCTGCTGTTGAGGGCCGTGTCCCGGGAATTTGTCGCTCAAGCTTCTTCTGAGCTTTAGGGTCACATCCGGGGTGGCGGGGTCTTGGACCCAAGCAAAAGAGAGAGCACCATGTGTCTCCCAATTGACCAAGTGTGGCTGTCTGTGTGTGTGGGAGGTGTGTGGAGTATGGATGGGGACCCACCAGAGAAAGCACGTGGCACTGCAGCCCCAGGCTATGATTTCTGGTACGTGCTTGGAGAGGGTGCCTGGACAAGCATGCCATGCCCAGCCGCAGGCTTTGCAACTGCCAGGTTTTCAGCAGGGTGTGACATCTGGGCCAGCCTCCTTGGTTGGCCGTGACCTGGCTGGTGGCCCAGGTTTGTGCCCAGTGGCCCCAGGGCAGCCCTGGGGTCATGCAGGGGAGCCATTTTGAACAGTGGAAGTGCTCTGGGGGCCCGTAGTATGGTGCAGCTTAGGTGTTTTGCTCAAGCCCAGTGACCCACCTGCCCTTTCCTTTTTGGGTTCGTGGAAGGGAGGACCACGTACTTCACAGTGCACCATGTACTTAACGAGTCAGTATTTCACATTGAACTCATCACATGTGTCCATGGAGGGCGAGCAAGGGTGAGCTGGCACCCCTGACCCCCTTCCCCACATAGAGGTCAGTTTGGACACAAGTCTTCCTCCTGTCTCCCCAGATGGTGACCTCAGAGGGAAACTTGTGTTGGGCCCGCTATTCTTGGGCCAATGTCAGTCAGCCAGGTACCCAGCCCCCAGTGTGTTGAAGCTTGGGCCCTTCCTGGTACTCTTGGCTCCTGCACTGAGCTGTGGTCAGCCCATCTGGGTCCTGCTGGATGCATGCGCAAGGAGCGGGTACCCTGGGTTGGGTCGATGATGAGAACCTTAAATTGTCCCGAAGAGAGGTGATGACTTAAAAATCATGCTCAATAGGATTACACTGAGGCCCAGCCTAGGTGAGAATTTTGGAAAGGGCACTGGGGTCCTGAGGTCCCTGACAGAGCAAATATATTTTGGGATGGAGACCTTGAGGCCTTGAATGGCTTCTGGTGGACCCAACCCTGTCTCTGCGCTCCTCCGTGAGACAGCCCAGGCTCCCTGCACTGGCTTGGTATCTGGGCTTCAGGTTCCCGGGGGCAGGGCACATTGGAGGCTCCTTCCTGAGCCCCCACTCTCCCCTGTGTCTTTCAGTGAGCTCCTCTGTCCAAGTGGTCCCCCCAGCCTTGAGCAGCATAGGTGAGTACATCCTGTTTTGGTCATGGGCCATGAGTGATGCAGCATGGGGTCCACGACATTCAGCCTTCAGGCCACTAGGGTTTTCTCAGGCTGCCAACCTACTCCCCACCAGGGAGGGATGGTTTCTGCAGGAGGGCTGCTTCCTTTCAAATCTGACCCAAGGAGCATGCCTTTCCTGAAGCCCTGCAGGGGTGACAGTGGTCCAAGCAGGAAGGGGTTCCTTCAGCCCAAGGTAGGGCAGCTCCCAGCTGAAACTTGGTGGCCAGGTCAGGCCTGGAGTACTACCCAGGGCACATGGGGAGGTGGGGCACAGGGGATGCAGTGCACCCTGGAGGTCACACTGGAATTCTCTCTCCCTGGAGTGGGGTGAGTGACTGGGTCCACATGGTCAGGCTGTGGAGGTTCAAGGAATGCTCCACACCCATGGCCTTGAATGGGACCCAACCCTGTTGAGTAATGGGCCATCTTAGTGGCACCTCCTTGAGCCTGGTTGGGGACAGCACTCTTTCAGTGCTTTTGGGTCAAGGCTGAGCTCTGGCTGGCACCCGGTGGTGCTGCAGGCTGGCTCTGACACTTGGGGGCTTTGGGTCAAGGGGGCATGGGTCACCTCAGGATGGCAAGGTCTTGAGTCCAAGGAAAGGAGATGACACCATCTGGTTCCTGATTGCCTGAGTGTGACTGGGCTCTGTGTGGCGGAGTTGGGCAGGGCATGCATGGGTACCTACCAGAGAAAGCATGTGGTCTCTAGGCTCGGAGAGGGCACCAGGGCTCATGCCCACCACACTCAAGTGCTGGCTCTGGGACAGCCAGATCTGCAGTGGCTGTTGGCATCTGGGCCAACCACCTAGGTTGGTCAGGAGCTGGTTGATGGCCCTGTCTTGTGCCCTGTGTCCCCAGTATGGCCCTGGGGTCATGTGTGGGAGCCGGCCTGAGCACTGGAGGTGCTCTTGGGGCCTGCAGTAGAGTGCAGCCCAGGCACCTTGCCCAAGCCAGGTGACGTGCTTGTCCTGTCTTTCCAGGGTTTCATGACAGGGAGGGCCAAGGGTACCCAGTATCCATATTGGGTCAGTGTTCAGTATGGATCCCATCACATGAGTTTCCCTTAACCCCTTCCCTGCATTGATGTGTGAGGCCCTGGTTGGACACATGTCCTCCTCCTGTCTCTCCAGATGGTGAGCCTGGAGGAAGACTTGTGTTGGACACGCAGGCCGAGGGCCAGTGTCTGT